AAAGCTGCGAACCAAAATTTGCCGTTCTCTCAAATTTTTCTCTTTGTTTCCTCCTCGGTCAAAGAGGGAAAAAGACAGGGTCTGATTAGAATCAAAAATATGTGTTTCTGGATATAAAAAATTCTTACTGCAAGGTTGGTTTGTTCTTGGGAAAATACAAAACAAAAAACAAAAGAAAAAAGTTCTCTTTTTTTCTTTTTTGCTCTCTCTCTCTCTGGTCTGTGAGCTCTGTGTGACGGCTTTCTCTCTCTATGACTGATGTGGCTGTGGTGTGGACCGTGGACCGACGACCGTGGACCGACGACTGTGGACTCAGCTGCCCTGTCTTTTTGCTGTGTCCCAAAAGCCAAAAGCTCCATTTTTTTTATTGAAGCTTTTTCTTAGTAACAAATTTTAGTTAGTTTCAGCTCTCAATTTGATTGGGACTAAATTATAAAATATATATATAATATATCTCTCAATTTTGTGATTTGTTTAAAAAATATCACTATCCAATATTATTTTCGTTTTTTTATAGACATTTTCAAAATATATTTTGCTTTTGAACTGTTTGATATTTTAAATGGAAAGTTTGATATTATATAATCTAAAATGAATCGGTAACCAACGCGTAGAAACTTGTCTTGATTAAGTATGAAAAGAGATAAGATGTGGAAGATGATGTCGTTTTTAAAAGGGGATCAGCACAAATTTAGGTATACAATGGGGAAGTAAACTCTCCTGACAATGGATAAATAAGAATTTTTAGATAAAATTGAGATGTTAATTATTGCATCATATTAGATTTTGTCGTCACGTCAACTTTCCATTCAACATATTTAACGAATGTTTGTTCAACCAACCATAACGTAGCTCAGCTGATTAAAATATATATATTCAGCCATGAGGTTGATAGTTCGAACCTCCACCCCTACATGTTATTATTATTTTTTTAAAAGAATATGAGTATTATCCTAATTTAACCTTTGATTTTATACCATCACAGCTCTAAACCCACGTCAAGTGACTCATACAGTGGTTTAATCAACTAAACAAAATTATATAATTTGAACTTAGTTTAATTTAGTTTTACAGTTTGGTTAAATTACTTTTAAGAATATCTGATATTAATTTCCAAAGTAACATATAAGATTTAACATGAACTTATACTTGGGTGGTCAATTTTTGTCATAAATTTTCAGTTTTATCAAATTGTACTTTAAGTATGGTTCAATTTCGTAATTTTTATGTTTGAAATTTATTGAAAAAAGTATTCTCGTATGGAAAAAATAAATTATGAAACATATATTCGATATGAAATTAATAAATTTAAGACAAAAACAACACTATATATTTTTTAATTAAAATTTATAAGTTCTTGCAAAATTATTTAATGATTAATTCGTGTATTAAATTATGTGCCAAGGTTAATTTTATTTAAATTAGTGAGTAAACGCATAAATTGAATAAATGATAAAGATTGCAATACTAGATAAGTACACGAGTTCAATCTTTTACATAAAAATTGATACAAGTTTCCAAGTTTGGGAGTAAAAAATAATTTTGTCCCCTAATTTTAAATTCATTGGATGTTTCGTTTTTTTCGAATTATCTTCCTCGGTGAAGTTGAGCTGAGTCTAGTTCATAGGGTTAAAAGTCATTGGCAGTTTTAAAATAGTTTTGAATCTCAATTCCAACTTTATATAAAATAAATAAAACGCAACGGAAACTTTTTGATTCTAAATTATTTATTCAATTTGGTTAAATATTTTGTTTGAAAAATAATGGGGATGTTTAGTTCGTATCTTTTTGTTGGGATAAATATTTGGATTGCATAGTGAATGATTTAGCATATAATATGTTTTTAATTTTTATTTATATTTTACAACAAATATTGTGTTTTACAAAAACAAAGAAAAAATCTCCACAAAAAGATCTATATTTACTAAGCGTTAAATTAAAAGTTTAGTTAATCAACTTTGAAAGTACTGTGTACGGTTAGAAGATGGTCCGATAGAAATTGCTATGATTAATGAATTAGGATCGTTTGTTCTGCCGTTCGTCGTGTGTTTTTTTTTCCCTTATACCTAAAAAATAAATTAGTACTGTATCATGTAGATTAACGAATTTAATTTGGGTGTCTAATAAGTTATTTTACTTTTGATTTGGTGTCTAATAATTCTTCAATCTATTTAATCTATTTGACATTTTTTTTATATAATTATCAGAAACAAAATTGAATTATGTGTTAACTTTTACCTTTTAATTTAGTGTCGATATGTGCGAACTTAAAAAATTATCAAATAGGTCTGGAACATATTAAACACAAAATTTAAAATTCTTTAGATTATTAAACACAAAATTTATTAAGAATTTTCTAAAGTTTAAATACATATTAAAGAATCCTAAAAAGACTTATAAAAAGTTATTTTGAATTGTGGAAAGGAAAATGCCATCATCATGATTGGTATGGTCAATAAAAAAAATAACATAATCATGATATTCTTGAAATGTTGGTGAATAATAGTAACAATATTCAAATAATAATGTTTGACTAAAATTATTTCAATTAATTTTTTTCTCTCACATGCCTGTGACAAAATTATTATACATAAAGTTTACAATGCGGTTGACCATTTTTTGGTATTGTGCGAGTTATTTAATCATAAATTTGAACCGTTTAATCTATCAATAGATCGATTATTTTTATTATGATGAATTGGGCTATAAATCCACTTTTTAGTGAAATAGGTTGGGTTGAGGATTCGAACTCCCGACCTTCTAGTTGAAGGTAGGTACTTTAATTTGTTGAAATATATTCTGATTGACTAATTACATGCGTTACAAATTAGAGTTTTTTTAATCGATATTAAATATTAAATATGCTGTGTAAAGGGTTATAATACTAGCTTATTATATTGCTTAGTTTATTTGTGCCATTTTTAATGTAAAATGCAGGTTAGCCATTTATATATTTTACCCATGGAAAAGTATATTTACAATACTATATTTTATTTGCCGAATTGATATTATTAGGAAAAGAAGGGGGGAAACCCCTAAATAGTTGATATATAAAAACCCTAAAATTTTAATTTGGGGTCTGGCCCAAATAAAAGAAAACTGGGGCCTGGCCCAGAGATATATAAGAAGAAAATGGGCTTTAGGCCCAACAGAAGCAGCAGGCGGGCTTCATATGGACTGAGCTTTAATCATAATCCCATGACCTCTCGAATTGACATTTTCGGTTCCTATTTCCTAATTACGGAAATTTAAGAATGGTTAAATTAAATAGGTGAAACTGAAAAAAGAAGTTAAATTTAATTTTTTTACTTTTGGTGTTTTCAGCCTTGTCAAAAAAAAAATAAATAAATAATTTTGGTTTTTTAAATTTGGCCAAAATTCAAGAGCTTTACTAGAGAAGCTAAATAGGCAATATAAGCATAATAATAGAAAGAAAATAATTTTAAAATTATTGTCCACTCACTGATATTGATAGCATGTTTTTTTTATATAATAAAATTGGAAAAACCCTCGGTTTATTCCTATCTCTCTCATCCCTTAAAATTTAATGATAATAATATATTTTTTAAATTTTTTTAAATAATTAATTATTCGCTGATAAATAAAAACTGATTGTAAACTTGTTTTTGTTTAAAATCTATTTTGTTGCTCGTCAACAATAACTAGAAACAGGGTCATTTCTAGTTGTAATGTATTAATGAATTTTTAATTTATTTATAAAAGTTAATATATGGTTGATGGTTAAGTTTATAATTTAATTATGTCATCATAGTAGGTTAATTATCTACGTGTAACATTTAATATTTCGTTCAAATTTGAACAACTCTCTGACCACCATCCATATTTAATCTTTTTTTTTTTTTGGTTCTCAGTCCATTTATAAATTTACCAATCAAAATCTTGTTAATGTTAAAATATTTTAGGGAAAAAAAAACCAATTTATTGACCAATAGAATACTCTATTATTTAACTAAAAGAAATTAAGGATGAAGTAAGGTTGTATGTAAAGAAAGTATTTATAAATGCACGTTTTCAAGTCAAGTAATTTCATCGTGCATTAAGTAACCCAAATCTTAATTAAATTTCTACGAGACAACGACACAAAACTTTACATATTACATTATATAAATTACTCAATTTCAAAGACCCATTCAAAAGTACTTTTATTATATAGTTTATTAACTTCTAATTCAACCAATTAAATATCTCGTATAAATATTTTTTTAACACTTAATTTGTTGATTATGTTTATGCACTTAATTATTTCTGTTAAATTTTTACTCAACCCAAAAATTTATGCAGATAGGTTATGATATACACTTAATTTTTAGTTTAAATCTTACTCTTTTATCCTTAAACTTCAAAAATCTTTACGTAAACTTTAAGGAGGTGTGTATATTTATTTTTTTTTCTCTCTATATATACATACATACATTTTGGTCATTACTATTATTTCCCTATTATTCCCATAAACATATTCACGTGCTACATTATTCAATAAATACAAGAAAAAAATATAGTAATTAAAATAAGTCATAAACAAGTGACAATCAATATTAAGTAGGGAGTAGGGATTTCAACATCAAACTTCTTCAATAATATGTTAATTAAATTACCATTAAACTAAAAAACCTGTACATATTTTCGACATTAGTTTCAAATTATCCTAAAAACTCCATTAAAATCCCATCAAAGAAAACTAAATGGTCACAATACAGTCGCACAATTAACCAAAATTAAAGAAATGTATATTGGGAATGACAAAGAAAGAAAGAAAAATGATGTTTTATTTCAGTTGTAGTTAATTAGGGTAACGTTTTTTAATAATTAATTGTATTATTAATCATATTAACTTTTTTAATTAATTAATCCATTTAAAAAGTTTTTAATCTCCTTTTAAAAAGGGATCTAGTTTTCAAAGAATAGGTAG